TCTTGTGTCCTTGAATCAAAGAACAAAGAGATTTCTGTAGCTGTCTTGGTCCTGAGAGGACTTTGCAATTCATTCATTCATTTCTGCCCCTCTGAAGTAGAATATGAGGAGCAGAGAGATGAGACAACCTGGCAAATAAGCTTAAAACTAAGTTTTTTAAAATGATCTGATGTGCAGTCATTTTAGCACATCATGGAACACACTTCTAATTCCTACATTTCCAGAAATATTCTCAAACTAAATATGGCACAATCACGCAACACTCCATTGTGCCTATCCTCTCTTTTACTTAGGTACCCTTTTTATTAATACTACCTAACTTGAGAGGGTAGGAAGTTTTCTGGGATCCTGATCACACTGTGGGGCTTTGCATTTTCAGTGGAATCAGTGACTCTCACTGCTGACTGCGTATCAGAAGCATCTGGAGCATTTATCAAAAGTGCTAATGCTAAGTCTACTCAAGAGTGATTAAATCAAGATAGATCCCAAGCATAAGTAATTTCCCCAGTTAGTTCTGATTTACAATAAGTGCTGAGAAGTACTGCATTAGAGAACACTACCTCATTTTCCCAAAAGGTGAGAATCAATATTATATTTAAACCCTAGAAGGGAAGGTGATTGGTCCTGAACATTTTGATTACACTACTTAAGATTTTTTTTTTAAATAAAGGATGAATGACTGACTTGGCTTCATTTTTTCTACTTACAGTCAGTGACATAAACTGGCATGACCTACTGTCCTACTTTGACCCATACATTGAATTTCTATATAGGCGTGAAGTCCTCAAGTCCTGTAGGATGTGAGAATCCTAAATGCATATCTTTGCATTATCTCTGGCTTGGAGCCTGCAGAAGAAGGAGTTGCATTACATATATTTTGCAGGGTGGGCATGTAGATGTCCAGAGCACAGAGAAATAGTTCAGTTGGCAGCAATCAGCTATTTGATGATGTCAAAAGAATATTTGTTCTTATACTCATTTATTGACAATGTTCATGCAAAGCACAGCTCGGTCCTCATAAATTTTATATTTGATTGGAAAAATAGTTTACAGAGAAATAGATATATGTATGCAAAAGGAGAAAGGAAATATACTCGTTAAATACACAGAATAAATGAGCCACAGTTCTAAAGAAAACATGCACATGCCCTTCCCATCTTTCTGCACCTGGGTTTGATCCACTTGGCAAGCTTCTCCTTTCCGATAGCCCCGTGTGTTAATTGTACTTAGAAGTTTGCATGGATATCTTTTCCATTAGGTCATGAGTTTTTTGAGGCCAGGCACTGTGTCTTCCTCATGTTTGTATCTCCAGTTGTGACTACAGTAGTGGATACAGCGCCCATGCTATGAAACAATTTGCTGAACGACTGCATGATCTGACAATGGAGATTGTGCGTGACTAAGTGGGGTATGGTGCACATCCCATCAGGTGCTCACATCACCCCCTTTTATTTTCTTAGCAGCCCGGGGACCCAGTGCATGGGTTCCTTAAAAGTGTCTAGCATTAATTTCAGGTCTACTTCTTCACCAGCTTAGATGATGTTTCAAAGTTTAGTTCTCAGGCAATCTAACAGCAACCTCTGAGGAAAAGAAGATTTAAAGAAAATCTGTATGATTTTAAGCTAGAATGTGAAGGCAGGTCCCACTGTATCAACACATAATCATTCTTTTCCTTCTTTTCTCAAACCTCATAATGAAAGAAGGGCTATGTGGGAGGATGAAACATTGGATAAGATGTCAAAGGTATAAAATCTCTTCAATGTCATGTTAGTGACTCAGGATATTTATTCTTCCTTCATCTTTAAGATGATGGGATTCCACTAGGTCAGCTCCTGGGAGAACTTTCACTGCAGTATAATTCTTACACTTGGTTATCATCTATTATGGTAATTTTAAATAAGGTGTATGTTTCTTTCTCCACCTACAACATAGAAAGGCGGACTCTTACATACACCTAGAGAAAGAACTTGGGCAACACACTTTTGTTCTGGTTCAGATAAACAATAGTCAGTCATAGGCTTGTGGGCGAAGCCTTGTGATTTCTGGGACTTGCTTTCTCCACTGGAGATGTAGAAAATGGCCCACAGGCCATTAGAGTCCTCCGTGGGCTTTGGCTTAGGTTTCAGAAATCTAGGAGCATAGGCAAATGGGCAAAAGTTATCTGATTACAGATGACATTCGGTTTACATTGCGTTGTGTGCTTGATTTCTACCTCCATCATCAGCTCATGTGCTCTGCTGATTTTTTTTTCTAATTAAGCATTATTTTCTCACTGAAAACAATGGGTCAATTAAAACCAAGAAGATGGCCTACTGAAATACTACTAGGAAAGAAATATCTCAATAAAGAGGAACACAGGAAAAGTTGGTGGCCAATCAGAACAGTCCTTGAAAGAAAGAAGACAGCCAGTGTCGTAGGGGAAGCCCAGTTGCACTGTCTATCTGCTCAGACGCAGGGTGAACCTGGACGGGATGAAAGTCAAGGGGACCCACCTACCCTGTCTCTTTGGTCCACTTCACTGTGACACTCCTGTGAAACGGTGCAATAGCCAAGAGGTTCTGGGACAGTAGCCAGCCCAGCTGGAGGGAGAAGAAGCCTTCCCACTCAGTTCAAATGTCCTCAAAGTGCCCTGTAAAATGTGACAGTCACCAGTCCTCTCAAAGCAGACCATTTACATAAGGTGGCCCTGTCCTTGCTCCCATGCCTCAGTTGCCCTGAGAAGGCCCCCATCCAAACCTCAAATACAAACGCCCAAAAGCACATTTTGTTAGCACTGAAGACATTGCTAGGTTCATTCCCGGAACCCTGTGTAGGTAACTCTGTCCTGTGCCATCCTCTGTCCATCTCAAGTGTCCAGCTGTTATGAATAACAAGCAAATGCAAGGAAGCATCTGAATACAGATAAATCGCTTAACAACCACCACTACCACCCCCAAAATAAACCCCTGAAAGTGAAATGTAATTACCAGGGTAAAAAAATTAAGAAATAAAAATAAAGACATTGCACCCAGTTTGGAGAGCCTATCACATCTCGCGTCTCATCGCGCGGCTCCCCCAACACTGCTCCTGTTGTGTCAGACAGTGGCAGTGTTGAGCCCGAGAACCCGCGCCCAGCCCGTGGCGGTCCCCGCGGTCGCTCAGTCTCTGCGGCCGCCTCGACTCGCGGGAGCCACTGGGCCGCGAGGGCGTTGGGGAGCGGGCGGGGCGCGGGCGGCGGCGGGGTCCCCGACGGCCCCCACGAACTGTGCTCCTTCTCCCGGGCCCCGGCCCCGCTCCCTCCAATTGACCGAATTTCACCGGCAGCGGGGGTGGGGAGGTCGCTCCCGCCCGCTCGCCCCGGCCCGCGCCCGCCTCGGTCGGCTGCAGCCTGGGGGCGGCCCGCGCGCGCCGGCCGAGCCTTGTGGGCGCCGCGCCCCCTGCGAGGCGCGTGGCGCGGGGTGGCGGTCCCCGCTCGGCCCCGCCGCGCTCCGAGCCGCCCCTGCCCCCTCCCCCGCCCGCGCCCTCCCCTTTCCTTTCACCAGGACTCCGGGACTCGGGAGAGGGCGCGGGAGGCAGGCGCACGGCCCGACCCCACTCCGGCGCGCGCTGGGGACGCGGGCGGGCGGGCGGGCGGGCGGCGAAGGGCCGCGGCGGGGGCGCGGGGCGGGCGCGGTCATGCAGCGGCGGCGGCGGCGGCGGCGACAGCACTAGCGACCGCAGGCGGACGGCGCGCGGCGGGCAGGGCGGCCCGGCGCCGCGGACCGAACTGCACAGCTCAGCAAAAGCGCCCTCGCCCTCCGCGCGCCGCCTCCCGCGAGCCCCGGCCGGCAACATTTTTAAAGCTCCAGCCCATCCTTTGAAGAGAAGGGCAAAAATAGCAGTGCGCGGAGAGCCGGGATCCATATATATATCTCTATCTGTGTGTGTGTGGATGCGTATATATATGTATAGCATTTTTTTTGGCGCCTGCTAAAATTAGCCGGGCCGCCTCGCGCCCCTGTGCGGTGTGTGCGTGCGGGCGTGTGTGTGTGAATGTGATTACTCCAGGACTCCGCGGGCTCCGGAGACGCCATTTTCCCCCTTGATATCTCTCTCCGTGAATCGGTGGCGCGGCGGAGGCGGCCGCGTCGGGCGGGAAGCGCGGGGTCGGCCGGGGCGCCCGCCGCTCGCCGCCGCCTCCGCGCGCCCGGGGGCCCCGGCGCCCCCCCACCCCGGAGGGCGACCCGCCCCGCGCCTCGCCGTTTGACAGATGCTCATCGCCATGGAGTTGCCGCGGCAGCACCTCTGGGGGCTCGGGCGAGCGAGCGGAGCCGGGATCTGAGCGGAGGGAGCCGGAGCCGCCGGGACATGGGTGAGCACGCGCGGCGACCTTGGCCCGGGAGCCCCGGCGCCCAGCCTGCCTTCGCGGGCCCCGCGCGTCCGGGCCGGGAACGGTGTGTGTGCCCGGCGTGCAAAAGTTCACGTCGCCTCGCCGGGGCTTTGACTTTGCACCGGGCAGGAAGGGGGAGACGCGGCCGAGGGGGCGGGATGCCGGTCCCCGCGAGGCTGCCGGGCTGGCGCGATTCCGGCTGGCCCGCGGGTGGGCAGCGATGCTGGCTCCATCGGAGTGGCCCGTTGGTGGCGGCGATGGGGAAGCGTCGGGCTGGAGGGCTGGGAGCTCACGGAGTTTCGCCTAATCTGATCCCCCCTTCCCGCCCCCGCCGTGTGCACCCTCCCTCGGTCCTGCCGCCGGCTGCCGGGTGGCGGGTTCGGCGTTGGTGGAGTGGACTCGGGAGGGGGAGGGGGAGGGAAAGGGGTGGGAAGGCGGCAGGATATTTTTTTTTTCTCCCTCTTTCTCTCTCTCTTTGTAACTTGCAGGTTAAGTGGAGCTAGAGAGCTACATTGTAACCTAGTTGGATGGTGGGGGGGGGGGGTGTATCAGAATCTAACGTGTCGTTAATAGAAGAACAGGGAAGAAGTGGTCCAGCCGGAGAAGGTTGGTGTATGCTTGTGCTCTGGCTGTATGTTAGTCTTTCTCTTAAAAATCTTAATGGTTTTGAGTGTCTTTCTGGTGTTTCTCCGGCTTAGGGATTCTGAAAAGACAGGAATCCCCTTAAAAGCAGACGAATGCCCCTTTGAAAGCACGCATTGTGTGCGTTTCTAGAGGAGCAGTGCGCTTGGGAATTAAAGGCAGGCTTCCCCGTTCGGTGGTTTCCAGTGGGAAATCACTCCGGAAAGGAAGCCCTTCTGTATCGATTTATTGTTTTTGTCTTCCCAACCATTATCTCTTTGACTAAAATACTGTCTGAGAAGTTCCACGGAGACAAAGTCAGGTAAACTAGACTGGGCAGCTCTTTAAGCAAGATGGTGATGACGGTGATGCTGTTTTGGGTGTCTGTTTGCGATGGAAGCATTGTTGGGTAATTGCAATTTCTGATCGGTAGAGCATGCTGGTTCTAAAAAAATAAGTTAGTGCTGAAAGCCTTCTTCCAGCCCCCTCCCCTACACGCTGCCTCACCCCTCCTCCCCGACCCACACCGCTTACTACAATTCTGAAATTGGATCCAACTGCAAATATTTTCTTTTATGATCGGAAAGTTGTGCAGTTGAAATAAGGAGATGAGGCCAGAGGTACTGGGTGTGTGTGCCTATGTGTGTGTGTGTGGGGGGGGGGGGGTTAGTGCCAGGTGCTGTTTTTATTCTTTATGTATGTCTGTGCAGGATTCTCACTGTGCATGTCTGCCTAAAAAGACTGTGGAGGGAAGGATTTCCGATTTGTTTCCGTTTCAAATAAACTGTCCTGATAATCTTGTGAATGACGTTTAATACTAAAAGGACGATTTGTGTGTCTCTTCAACCCAGCAGAAACTGTTTTCCTAAGGGGAGTTTCTTCTGGATTCTACAGCAGCGACGTTTCCTTGTCAGTCTCTACCTCATCCCTGTCCAGTAAAGTTTGGTGGGAGTCCATGGTCTCTAAGGAAATTCTGATAGTACTTGTTTTCCTCTTACATTCTTTTCTCTTCTTTTTCTTTTCGTGCCTTCACTCTTCATGCTGTTTGTCTTCGTTTTCTATAGGCTTGCGCTGAAAACTTTCATGAAGTAGCTGTCATCAAAACTAGGAGTTGGGGCCCCATTCCCTCACTCTCTTGTGGCTCACACAGGTAAATGTAGGTTTCATCTGAATTCAGCTCCATCTGCAGTGTACCTGTGCATGTTTTAGGCAGGGAAAGAGGGTGGGGTACAAGGACTTAAAGAGGAAGAACACTCTGTGCAGGCCACAGCTGCAGTGCTGAGACCAGACCAGGGCAGCAAGATTCTTTTGCACACCCCACTTAGGTTTGCTGGTTTGCGATGGAGAGGCGGGGCCAACTGGCCAGGGGGCGTGTGAGGGAGGAGAAAGTTTGTAGCACTTTTTAAAGATGTAACCAGTTTACAATCCCTGCTGGCTCCCTCCCCTTTCTCTGGATTTTTTTTTTTTTTTTTTTTTTTTTTTTTTTTTTTTTTTTTGGCTTCCACTATCCTTAAACTCCTTTCAAGAGAGAGGGAGCCAGCAGGATCTCTTTTTCTCTGATACCGGATTCCCAGGTTTCAAAGGAAGTTGAAGGTGCTATGTTTTGTCCTGCATTTACTTTCCTTATCTAATACTAGACAAGGGTGTTGGGACAGAGAGTTTGAAGCAAATCAGAAGAGGAAGAAGAAAGCAAGTTGACTATAAAGTATTTGCAAACTAGGGAAAGTGGCCCCAGAAGATAGGGGAACCAAGCAATCCTCCTGCACATTAAGGATCCTCCTCCCACATTAAGAAAAACACATCCTGGTCTTGAGAAGTTGAATTGGTGTTAGAGCTGGGCTGTAGAAGCTGCTATAGTAACCCGAGTGGAGCTGGTGGGGGGGGTGAGCAAAGGCAGTCAACAGCCAGAGGAGGGAAATGACTTGTCTCTCATAGCAGGGAGAGTAGATGTGTCACTGGAATAAACAAACTGCAGGTGGAGGAGGGGATGGTTTGTAGTGAACATGAGGAGGAAAGGACTGTCTGAGAGGCAGCAGTGTCTGTTAGGAAGGGGGCCACGTCTAGCCTGGGAGAAACTATCAACTGCCTTATATGTTCATGAATGGGCCAGGCCAGTGAAGGCTTGTAATCTGATCTTTTGCATGTTAACATCAGAGTGTTACATAGGAAGGTTCTGCTGGGAAGAGCAGTTCTGGACTTCTGGCAGGGAAAACCTGGGCAAATCCTTGAGGAAACCAAACAGCCCCTGGTGTCCTGAGGGCTTCTGGTTTTGAACTTGCGTTGCTTAAGCAAGCTACCTTGTAAATCACCTGATCTAAGTGTAGGTTGAGGAAGAGAAGCCCTTCTTGGGATCTTTATAGAATTTAGTTGGAAATGGTCAGTAGGAATAGGTAGGAGGCTGGATTTTGCTGAAGAGGAAATAAATAGGTAGATACTTTCCCCTGGGTTCTCTGTTCCTTTTCTGCTGTTATCTTAACTTTGAATTCCATTAGGGGCTGAATCGATTCTTCTTTGGCACAAAAATGTACATGCAGGAGAGGAGAGTTATTGCAATATGATCATTATTTTTAGTAGTGCTTCAATCTCTGCTCTGAAGCTTCTGTATACTATGCAAAAGGAAGAAGATGAGAGATAGCTAGATGGATGGAACATCCTTTCTGGGTTCTGAGAAGACACTGAAACTTGGCTGGGCCCTGGCCTCCCAGAATGCCAGTTTTTCCCTTGAAGACTTAAAGTTTTAATTGAAACCAGAAAGCTATTGAAGGCAGACCCAGCCAGTGAAGCTCTGTTTTCTCTGATGGTCTGAGATGGGAAATAAATAATTTTTCTGCTGATGGCACTTAAAATTGCTTCAGTTTTACTATGCCAGAAGAATAGGGTAAATTATTACTAGCGCATTAGCATTGTAAGGAGTTGCAATGCCTTAAAGATAGGATGATATGATTTAGTTTGTGTAGAGGCTCAGCCTATGGGGGTGTCCTCACAGAGGGGGTGGAGACCACAAAAGGCTGCTCTTGTCCTGGAGGGTTAGCAGTTTGAGCATTCCTGAGATAATCAAGTGACAAAGGGGAAGGGCTTACTTTGGCTTATAGCATTAGAAGTTACACCCCTGAAGTACCTCATTGCTTTGGGCCTGTGGGTAGGCTGTACATCTGCAGTGGGAACACATGGAGCAAAATTGCTGACCTGACCAGGAAGCAAAAGAGCAGAAGAGGAAGGGACTGAGGCCCCCAAATCCCTTTCCAGGAATGTTCCTATGATGACCTTACCTTCCACTTAGGCCCTACCTCTCAAAAGTCTTACCACCTTCTTCTAGTGTGGCTCTTGAGATTGAACCTTTAATGTATGCTTTGGGGATGGGGGTGGGACAGTCAACCTCTAAAGCATAGTGCTATGAAAGCTTCCATAATATTTTGGGCGAAGTGGCACAGCGCCTGCCTGGCAAGCACAAGGTCCTGAGTTTGATTCCCAAAACAAAAAAGTCACCATTAAGTAGAAATGCCACTATCATACCTATAGGTTTATGTTTTCTTTAGAGCTGTTTCTAGAGACAACCCTGGTATCTCACAAGCTGTTCATAAAGTTGCAGACACTTTGGTCATCCAGATACTTGATAAATGCAGAAAAGAAAATACCAGTGAACCCACAAAATGTACTTCACGATTGCCAGGGTGATGCTTTACCTATATTGTTGCTTGACTCTTGAGTTTTCATTTCTACTTTCACTTGTCCTTCTACTAGATTTTGATGCCTTTTATACACATCGATGGGGATTTAGCTCAGTGGCATAAGTGCCTGCCTTGCAAGTGCACGGTCCTGAGTTCGATTGCCGGTACCAAAAAAAAAAAACATCAAGTTGGAGCTAAAGTTTGGGGGACCATGCTCTTTGATGCTTTAGTTTATGTTATCTGCTCTTATGGTTCTCATCTAGAAGCTCCATAGATTCAGGCAAGAAAAGCTTTCCATTTCGAGATGTTTTATTCCATTAGAGGGTAACCTTTATGGTTGAGAAAACATTTTTTAAAGTGGCCTTTGGTTAAGATACCAGCAGAGAAAATGATGTTAGGATCCAGTGAAGAATGTGGGCAACCCTGAAGCCCACAGGCAAAGATAGCTGAGCTGACTCTCAGCTTGGCAGAGGGTAGGGGATGAATCCTGAGAACTTTGCCAGGTTGGAAAAATGTTTCCCTGATCCAACTTTTCTTTTCCCCCCAGACACTCCCTTCATATGCATATAATTTTGTTCTTTTCAAAAATTATCTTCATATCACGTCCACCCCCTTGGTTCCCTTGAGGAGGAAAGGCAAATACACATTTTATTCCCATTCAGAAGATGAGGCAAATGTACAACTGGGTTGCCTGAAATGACACAAATTGGCAGGCTCAGGCTGCTGTGGTAGAATGTGAACAGCCACACACTGGATGTGACAAGATCTGTGATCTACATCCAAGTTAAGTGACACCCCCCCAGCAAGTTGATTTTGCACTTCTGTAACCTAATCAGTGAAATATGGACAAAGATGACCACACTTCCTATTTTGTACAGGTTGTAAGAATTTAAAATACCAGCCAATTTCTGAGACTAAACTCTGGAAGGATTTCCAGGCTACCTCTTGGAAACTTGTGCCTGAGATTACTATTGTATTGCCATAGTCCCAAGGTTAATAACTCCTTGGAATGCTTGGAAATTCCCCCAGGGCCTTGGGTGTTCTAATATTTCAACTGACTTAACAGTGTCTGTGCATATACTGATGACTCAGATCTGTGTGTGTGTATATATATATATGTATACATATACATATATATGAATATATATGCATATGCATGTGGGTTGTATTTTTAGATGTGCGATGTCTGAGACTCAAAGTTATCTAGTTAGACTCAAGAAATGCTGGTGCTCCCGAGATGCCCACTGAATAGGAAAATCAATAGAAGAAAAGGAAAAAAAAATGCACCCATACAGAGACAAGAGGAAAAGGTGAGAGAGGGCAAGAGGAGGATCTCCTTTCAGAGTAACCTAGAGATGGAGTAGGAACATTCAGGGCATAATGTCTATCCCTCCAAAGAAAAGATTTATTAACAAGCTTGTTTCTTCCCTGGCAAATCCAGGAAGTTCTCAAATCAAGAAAGTTCAGAGTCTATTGGCTCCTAATACTTTTGTGCCCTCTTCTCACTCTTTCCCATGATACCTGGCTGGCCCTGTAGAGCAGCCTGCACTGGGCATCTAGCAGTGATCTGGAGTGAACCCCATTTACGCAACACCCAAAGCTCTACTCCTGTTAGACTGGTTTCTCATTGATCCTGGGCACCGTGTCACCTGTCCACCTCCACATCTGAGCTCTATTATAGTTGCCACCCTGTGTCTGGAAGGTGGCCTGACTGGTCCCTTTTAGCCAGAGCATCTACCTTTTAGGACAGCTGGCACCACCCTGCCTCCTCAGGGGAGACACACTTTTCACTTCTCGCCAGGTCTCAGCTGCTTGTCCCCAGTTCCCAGAGCACTTCAGGTCTAAAGCGAATGCCTGGCTCCCCATTATGCTGCTTTGCTGTTTGTTTCACCTGCCTCTTCTAACTGTGAGTCCTTGAAGCAAGGGGCCAAGCTTGTCCTTCCAAGTCCTGCAACTGTTCATGACTGGGTGTCATTGCATGAATGAATCACCGCATTTATGTGAATACAGAATACTAAAAATACATGTTACTTAAGGTGTACTAAAGCTTGGCAAATGAAGTAACATTATAAGGACCTCTTAGGGTAATCACTACATAATTTAATAGCTTTTTATATTTTTGGCTATCATTCAAGGAAAATCACCCAATCTCAGTTTTTCCCTCAGAGAAGAGGTGATGATATTTTACATGTACATCCTTTCAGTCACTGATTCACTCATTCATTCAGTCATCAAATATTTATTAAGTGCCTGCTAGAGTCTCATCACCACTCTAACCCACACAGCTCCTCATTTTCTCTGGAAATTCCAATTGTGTTTCTGTCCACTGCACTCATTTTGGTACTTAACCATGCAGTCATCTTTGTTGCTGAAATCCAAATGCTTTTCTACTCTTTAGTGACTTGGTGAGCCTGGTCACAGTGGAAAAATACTAGAAAAACGCTGAGCAGAGAAAGATACCCAACAGGGAATACACTCAAGA